CCGTGCCAGGTGCAGGGTCTGCTAGCTGGGTGCTGGCAGGCTTGCACCTGGCACGGGCACCGTAGCCAGCCCGTGCCCCTTTAAGGGGGCCGGGGCCGGGAGGGGGGCATAGAGTTTCCCTGGTGTTGGCCAGAGTGGCCACCAGGGAAACCTGGGGAGGGCTAGCCTCCCACTAGTTCGAATTAAGGGGCTACACACCCCTTAATTCGAACTAGTAAGTTCGAACTAGGCTTAATCCTCGTAAAATGAGGTTTACCTAGTTCGAACTAAGCGCTCCGTTAGTTCGATTCAAATTCGAACTAGCGGAGCGCTAGTGTAGCGCCTATGAATGTTAGTTCGAACTAACATCCGTTAGTTCGAACTAACATTGTAGTGTAGACATACCCAGAGAGTTTCAGGGCATCAATTTTTAGTTAATTCTAGCTTTCTACAGAATGGCTATGAGTTTAGCTGGATCTCTGACTGTGTTGGGAGATGGAGGCAATGGACACATAAAAAAATTATAAAACTGAACCCTAAAGAAACTCCCATATCCTTGGTTTTAATAAGTTTTAACTGTTGTGTGCACATAATTGTATCAAATGTTCCAGATAAAGAAAAGTATCTAGTGGACACATCATTCTAATACACTTCATTGGTTTTGCTTGCTTGGACTGATGTACATCCAAGAATTGACACATGCATGTTTTCAGAAATGAAGAGTGTAGTTTGCTGCTCTTACTTCCACTGGATCTCAGATATCTGCTTGTGGAGGAAAGATTTGCTGTAGTTGTAGTTCTGATTTCTTTGTCATCAGTAAATGAAAATATAGTGTGCCCTCACCTGGTTGCTAAAATAGTGCTGTGAATCTTTGCTTCTAGCTGCTAACAGATCTGTTGCCTTTATAATTTGTTTGTGTTTTCTGGAGAGAGCAATTACTTATTACCTCAAATAATTACCCAAATCCTTTCACATTTGGGTAATTTGTTTTAAACCTCTTTATAGAAAGGACTTTGTTTCAAATATTTTCCATCACAGAAAGAGCAGGTTGAAAGTTTGTTCCTTGAATCAGATATGAACTTCATAAGCTGGAATACCTGCAGTTGGTGAGATGATGATAAAAAATGTCATTTTATCATCATTTCAACCTATTAAGCATAGTGGAGGGTTGGTTGCTGGCCCTAAATTTGGAATGGTCTGTATCTAAACCAGTGGTTCACAAACGTTTTGGCCCAGGGACCACTTGGCTCAATGCAAACCTTTCCATGGACCACCAGATGCTAATGGAAACTCGCTGTTAATTACATAATTACACCCGAGCCATTTTGCTAGTGCTGCAGCTAGGGAGACTGGTTTAATTTAAATTATTAAACAGATTAAGCACTTTTCATTTCTTATGTTAGTTTATCAAACTTCATTTTCAATAAAGTAAAATATGAATTTATGTCCAACACAAAAGGTTTCAATGTTTTCTTTATGTCAGGCGTGGAGAACCATTTTTGGGTCGGGGGCCACTGACCCACAGAAAAATCAGTTGGGGACCACACGACCCTCACTGAGGTGACCCCCAACTGACACACCTCACTCCTCTGGTACTCCAGCCCCATGGGGAGAGGGGAAGGGACAGGGAGGACTGAGGTTCAGGGCTTCCCATAGGCTGGATTTACTTTCCTGGGGTTCCAGAGTTAGTGAATTTTATGGACCCCTTTAGGCTCTTGGGTGGAGACAAAAATGAGGGGTTCAGTGTGCAGGACAGGACTGCCAGTGATTGGGATAGGGATGGGGTGCAGGATCTGGGTGGGAGGTGGGGTGAAGAAGGGGGTAAGGGTGCAAAGTCTGGGTGGGAGGTAGGGTGTCTGGCCAGGATTGAGGGTGAAGAGTTTGGACAGGAGGGAGGGGGTTCAGGGAGATGTGGGGTAGGATGCCCCTGGGAATAGGGCTGGGGTCAAGGTGGCTCTGGGGGGCGATTCAGAGGGGCAGGGGGGCTGGGCACAGCACAGCAAGGTGGGGGTGGGTGGGTAGGTGACCCCAGGGTGTCCAGCCCTGCAGGGGGTGGTGTCCCACAGGGGTCCAGTCCATGGAGCCCTCCCCCCTAGACCGAGTCCCCATGGGTGCAAAGCCCTGAAGGGCCCCGAGCCCCCTCCTGCATGCGCAGGGTCCTCAGCCCCAGCATTGCCTAGGGGGGCTGGGCACAGCACAGCAAGGTGGGGGTGGGTGGGTAGGTGACCCCAGGGTGTCCAGCCCTGCAGGGGGTGGTGTCCCACAGGGGTCCAGTCCATGGAGCCCTCCCCCCTAGACCGAGTCCCCATGGGTGCAAAGCCCTGAAGGGCCCCGAGCCCCCTCCTGCATGCGCAGGGTCCTCAGCCCCAGCATTGCCTCCTCCCACTGCATTCCAACCTGCTGCTGGGGAAGGGGGGGGGGGGGTGGGCGCTGCCGCCGCCCAACCGAGTCCTGCGCAGCCCAACCTGCTGCCGGGGAAGGACGGGAGGCACTGGCTGCTCGTGCACAGCTCTGCACAGCCCAACCTGCTGCCTGCCCAGTGGGACCAAGGGATGCACCGCTCTTACCATGGTGGCAGTGCTCCTCCACATGTAGTTGCGCAGGTCAGGGGATGAGTTTGCTTTCTTCCCCTCCCTTCCTGCTGGCCGGAGCTGGTGCAGCAGCCTCGTGGCGGCGTGCTGACTGTGAGGCTGCAGCGGCAGCACGGGGTCCCCACTGCATGGGGGAAGAGGAGGAGGGGGGTGAGCTCCGCAGCCACGGATCACACTTTGCGAACCACTGATCTAAACCCTTAAAAGAGAAGTAGTTTCCTGTAATTACTATATTTCAAGGAGGACTACAGCTAGGTAAAACGGATAAAACTGTTACCTGTTCAGTAGCCTCAACCATAATTACTGCATTTCTGAACTCCTGTTTTCAGAGAGAAATTTTATTGCTAGCATGATTGTCAAAAATAAGTAGGTTAAAAGAACATGCAGAAGAAAGTCAGAGATGAGGAATATCAAATGAATAATACTTAGAAAATGGTTTAGTCTTAGCCTCAATTTTTGGTGATGATTACTTTCCCTCAAAGATTTATGGATCAGATGTTTTGTTTTTTAAACATGCACACACTGGATTGTTTTTATGTAGCTCAAATTTAGGATACTGAAATAATATTTAGAACTGAGGATATTTTGTCAGTTTCATGTTAATATGTAATCCCGTTCAGGCAAAACCTAATTCAGCAGCCCTGTTCAGTTCTGGTTTCTGTTTTTACTTTTTGATGGAGCATATTTCTGCTGCTTGTTGTATGCAGATAAGGCCACAACATTAGAACAACGCACCATTTTCTTGAAATTGTTTAAATTACATTCATTTTCACATTGAAGGAAACTAGTTCTAATGGGAGAGGAGCAATTGTTTATCATAACTAAAATAGTTTTTCATATTTTACATTTTGTCTTGTCTTTGTACATGGTGGTAACTTTGGATTCCTAATCCACCACAGCAAGAAAAAACGCTGTATAATTTTCTAAGTGGTAGTGCCACTTGATTGTGGTATTTGATTGTATTGGGCTCATATAGTCAGTCACACAATAGCTATTTCTATTTCAGGTCTGAAAAAGGAACCAGAAAAAATTGCTTAAATTGGTACAGTTGATGTTTGGTGTACAGGCAGTCCCCGGGTTACGTACAAGATAGGGACTGTAGGTTTGTTCTTAAGTTGAATTTGTATGTAAGTCGGAACTGGTACATATTGTAGGGGAAACTCTAGCCAAACATTTCTCCAGAGCTCAGTTTTATTCTCCCACACCTCACTTCCCTCAGTCCTTTATTCTCAAGCTGAGGTGTCTGCTGAGAAAAGCCGCTCCACGTCTCCCTGGTCTGCTGGGTGGGGCGCTAGCTTTGTGTCTCCCTAGTCTGCTGGGGGGAAGCAGCTAGTGCGGGGTTGCCTCACCCCGTTTGTAAGTAGGGATCCGATGTAAGTTGGATCCATGTAACCTGGGGACTGCCTGTATTTCTCCTTTCCCCTCCCTACCACCTTGCAAAATGAACTTTTACTTCCCTCCCCCTTTGGCATGAAGCTTTTCTTGGGATAGATTTTAAAGGGTTATTTTTCTTACATGGTTTTTGACAACTGCTCTTGCTTTCAACAGTCATCTGGCACAAATAATAATGGTGAGGAGTTCCCATTACTGAGCTGTAAAAGAATGGGTTATGCAGAAAAACCATTTAGTTAAAAATGCAATTTTCCCTTCCATGTACAGTGTTAAGAATTAACATAATAGTACATTCTGCTTAAATAAGCACTTTTATATTATATTTTTACCTTAATTAACTTCTTTCCTAAATAGGGGTGGTTCATTTAAAAGTTAAGAACAAAATTGATCTGTCTTTATCCCTTCAGAACCAGTGCTCCAGTTTTCATCAGTTTTTTCTCGAGTTAAATCTTGCTGAAAAGGCTGTTACTGTAGCATATCCTGGAATTTTGTTGTAACTCTTTATATGTTGCACTCAAAGGTGTCTGATAGAAATAATAGCACAGTTTCATTCTCCCTTGCTTCTTATGGAACTAAGTCACTGTGCATTTATATATGAATTTTCATGTGTGCCTTTTCATTGATCTGAATGTCAATTGTGTTCTTACTGGCTTTGTTAGGAGTACTCAGCCCATGGCCAGAAAGCAATGAAGACACCAGTTTGTCACTTAGTCATTTTTGCAAGAAATACTACAGAAGAGGAGCTACCAAAGTCAAAGGTTAGACAGTTACTTTGTGGTCAGTATCTAGTTCATCTGTGTGTGTGTGTGATTAATAATAATCCACCATTTTAATAAATCTTGAGGACAGATAGTTTGCTTAAATGCATTATGATACTATGAGTGCATTTTTTGTGAAAATACTGAAAACAATTACTTAAATGGCTTTAAGTATCTTGAAAATAATTTTAACTAACAATTTTTTTCTTGACAGGGGGGGGGGGGGGGTTGGAAATCACTGGTTAGAGGATTGTTGTGGTGGCTTTTGTGCCAAGTAGATCAGTGTAGTATATCCCACTAGTATTTTTGGTTACTAGCCTGTGAGGCCTGGCTGAGAGTAGTAAATCTGTGCTTGGTTTAGTCTCAGTTGGACACAATGCTGGAAGATTTTATGCAGTTTGGAGTTATGTGCATGTGTACCATACACAAACACCTGAATTTAGGGTGACAATAATTCTTCTGCTAGCATTATCTTGCTGTTTTCTTTTTAGGGCATTTATGTCACAGCAACTCATGTGCTGCTGTCATTGATTCTGGCTTCATGTGGTCATGGGTCATTAGCCAGTGTATGTGAAAGCCAAGGCATTTTTTTCTTCCCCGAGACAGCTTTTCCTTGGATTAGAAGGAAAAGTTCTCTGATATGAGTGAGTGATGGTCATTCTTCTTGGAGTGATTGCTCATTTCCATTCCATGTAGGTGTGCGCACGCTGCATGCACGCGTTGTCGGAAGTTTTTCCCTTAGCAGTACCCATTGGTCCAGCAGGGAAGCCCCCTGCAGTGGTGCCACTGTATTGGCTAATATATACCCCTGCTGGCCCTCCACCAGCTGAGTTCCTTCTTACTGCTCTTGATGGTCTGCAAGCACTTAGCAGGTCTTATTGTTTTAGTAGTTAGTTAAAAGTTTACGGTTCATGGTTCTTATCTAGGTTTTTAATAGTTGTTAAGTGTTGTACTTAGTGTTAAGCCCCCAGGCGTGGGGCTCCCTTTGCATCCCTGTTTCTTCCGGTGGGGCATGCCCAGGCCCCAAGGCTTCAAGCCCTGAGAGAAGTGCCAGAAGCCTATGCCCTGCGGGGACCCTCACGCAGCCTGCCTTAAGTGCCTGGGAGAGGCCCACTTGTCCGAGGCCAGTAAGATGTGCAAGGCCTTCAAGCTGCGCACCAAGCGGGAAAGGGAGTCTCACTTGAAGCTTATCCTGATGGAGGCAGCCTTATGCCCGGCATCGGCATCCGATCCAGCACCGGCAATTCAGAACGCACTAACTTGGGTGCGGGAGGCACCCAGCCACTCGCACGCCTTCCCGGCGCCACATAGGCCTCTGCACTGGTGGCAGTCTCCAGTGCCCAAGAAGAAGAGGAGACCTAACATGGACAGGTCTCCCTCAAGTCATCTGCCCTCCATGTGCCCTCAAGTGGGTCATGTGGCACTGACTAGCACAGCGCCCAGACCATCGCAGTCAGGTCAGCACTGCTCTAGTCCGTGCTGATACACCAGCCTGATGGGGGTCTTCCCAGAGCCCTCCACTCGGGATACCTTTGAGGCAGCAAGAGATTTGACTGAGCTGACCTTGTCCCTGACCTCGGCACCGGACCTGGCCAAGGAGCAAGGGTCCAGGTGGCACCGCACTGCTGTCTCAGCACCTAGCACCCCAGCCCTGGAAGTGAGAGGGCTCCACCACCCTGCCCCGGTGCCAGCAGCTTCGACCCCAGTCCTGGGTGCAGCACCACCTCCAGCCCTGGCACTGGCCATAGCCCCCACCCCCTCCTGCTCACCGTCACTAACACAGACACCGACACCGGAGTCACCACCGGGTCCTTGGGCGGCACTGACCACGGCACCGGGTCCTGTGACCACCAGCCCTTCTCCATCGGGTGCACCAGCACCGCCACTGGCCATGCTCCCACCTCCTCCTCAGCACCAGGGGGAAAACGGAGTCAGTGGCCCGGTACACTCTAGGGATGTTAAATATCGGTTAATTGAGTAGTCGATTAACCTCATGAATTCCTATCGGTTAGTCAACTGTTCTATAGTCCCTGGGGGTGGGGATGGTAGCCAGTGCACTCCAGCCCCACTCACGAGGAGCCCCCTGCTACTTACAGAGGCAGCAGCGCGGGGTGCCAGCAGCTCCTGTCCAGGGAGGAGGGTGGGGTGCAGCGCTCCTGGACCTGGCACGAGCCAGAACTGAGCCAGGCTGCCTGCCTGCCTGGGTCCCAATACACTTTAAATGCAGAGTTGCAGCGGGGGTAGGTCCCGGACCCAGTGCGAGCTAGGACTGAGCGGGGCTGCTGGCCAGCCTGCTAAAAAATGCATTTGTAAGGGTGGGGGCGGGGGGGAATGCATGTAGTCTATAACA